AGGTCTCTTGTTCAGAAATTAGCCAGGGGTTGGATAGTTGGGGTGGGATAAGGTGCTATATAGCACACGTGGTCTTAAAAGTCACAGGTAACAGCATGTGCTCAAGGGTGAGGAAAAGCTTGGCAGTTTCATAGAGTATGAATGAAGATAAGACCAGAGAGGTGGTAGATAGGGAGCAGATCTTTGAAAGCTTCAGAAGGCATATTTAAGGTTTTGGGCAATAGAAGCCAATGAAGGATTTTAAGCAGGCAGGTTATATATTCCAGTTTATAAGGCAATATGCAAAGTGGTTTCCATCTAAAGGCAAATTGTCTTAATTCAGATCCTACTTCTACTGTATTCTAGCCATTGAAATTGGACACTTTAACATTCATAGGCTTTGGTTTCCTTATCTGTAAAATGGAACAGTAATCGTATTTTATTTGTAGAGTTGTTAGAATTAACGTAGATAATGTGTGAAAATACTTAGTATAATTCATATTCCATACTAAGTGTAAATAACAATATTTTTTATATATTTTTTTGCTTATTATCTGTATTATTAGGCTTAGAAAGATCACTGCGTTATTTGGGTTAGAGTGGAGTAAGAATAATTGCAGCGAGACCTGTTAGGCAAGAGATAATTTCGACTTGGATTGGGGTGTGGTGGCAAAGGGATGGGGAAAAAGATGCTATTTAAGAGGATTTCAGAGGTAGAATCCTTGGCACTCACTTGATAACTGAATGAATGTGGGAGATGAGGGAGAGGGAGAAATAAAAGAAGAGTCAGAGTATCTCAAATCATTTTTGGAATGACAGTTATATAAATAAACTCACATCAGCTGCACTATAATATGATAATCAGTTTAAAGCTCATTTTTTTTTTAATTAATAAAGTTTTATTTTTCCAAATGTACAGTTGCTTGGACCTGTTCATGCATCTCCAGCAGCTGGAGCATCTCTGCCCTTGGTATTTCTGGTGTAAATTACTTGAGCTTTGTGCTTTGAAACCAGTTTGATAAGTCCTTTACTAAGGAGCTCCGGAAAGGCTGCCCTGGCCAGGGAACCTCAAATCTTCAGTCTCTTAGAGACCACAGCTGGAGTTATAAGTTTATAGTTGGGGATTTCCTTACAGAGTTTGTCATAGGTAGCTTTGTCAAACAAGACAAGTTATTGAGCTTGTCCCCAACTTTGCCTTTGGACCATTTCTTCTTTTTGGCCTTGCCCCCACATTTGTTCACTGGGTCTGTGTCTTTCTTGGCTGACTTTCTGGTGTCTTCCTTCTTCTTGTAGTCCTTGGGTGCGTCATGAAGCTCGGAGAGCAGTGGCGAACACTGCAACCTTGCCAAGATGTCGGACAAAAAGTGAAGCTCATTTTTACTAAATAATAAGTGATAGTTGACACTAATGCCCAAAGGTGAAACTTAGGAATTTGAAGAACTGAGATCATTTCTCATCTACAAGTAGTTAAGTCTCTGAATAGGTTGGGAGAAAAAGAAATATAATTTGAACAGGTTTTTTCCTTTTTTTGTACATTTCATTTCTTGTTCTGCTTTTTAAGTCTGTCATTTTGTTATTTTAATTATTTTGGCTTTTAAAGTTGTTTTAATTTTATTAGGTTGAACCATATAGAAGTTGGTGTGTTTGCAGATCAGAAAATATTTAGCTAGCAATGAAATGTTTAAGTATCGGTAAGTTCGTAATTATATTCTTGTTCTGTAAGAGGTTTTAACTGACGTTTTGGGAGTCCATTTTGAGTTAGATTGAGTACCAAAGACTGAAGGAGTGTTGCTCTGATGGCATAAGAACAAGGGGAACAGAGCCCCATGAAGTAGAGAACTTCAACCCAGCATCATTCTATCTTGCTAAATCAATATGGTTCTGAGGGTATATAGAAATTGGAAAATTCAGAAAATATAGAAAGCTGTAAAGAAGAAAGATTTTTTATAAATGACTGTTATCCCACCGTCCAATAATAGTGTTGATTTTTAATGTATTTCCTTTTAGTCATATATATACAGAAACTTACTCAGCCTTCAAAGTAAATATAGAGAGAATATATCATGAAACTACATTATTTTATTTGTTATGGTATTTTTTAATCAGTATATAATGTACATACTTATAAGGTATATAATGATGTCTTGATACATATAGTATATACTGATCAGATCGTGGTAATTGTACACATACCCATCATCTCTAACATTTATCATTTCTCTGTGTTGGGAACATTCAGTAACCTCCTTCTAGCTATTTGAAACTTTGTAATATTAACTATAGTCTTCCTAGAGTGGTGTAGAACACTAGAATGAGACTGTGTTATGGTTAAAGCCTAGATTTATTAGGCTATTGGGCTTTTTTTTTTTTTTAAGTTTCTTAAATGAATATTTTGATTTTAGCTCCTAGACTGGTTTCACTAAAATAGAAACAAAGTTGAAATAACTGTTATTGTACTAATGACAGTAATGTAACAGCTTGTAGTTTTATTGCAATTTAATAAATTTTTAATTCTTTCAAATTTTCAGCCATTGTATTGTCTGTTTTTATCAGCGTAACTGTCTTGTTTTATACATGGGAAACCACAGAGAGAATAAGTTACATGCCCAAATTCACAAGTAGTAGTAGAAAAGCCTAGACTTTTAACTGTGGTGAATACTTTTTCTATTTATTGAAATACATTAGTAACTCTCGAAAATCACTCCTTTATTCTGCATTTATTAAGGTACTCAGTAAATATCGTTTAAAAATAAAGTCTATGGCAAGTGTATAGAATAAGAAGTAATCTGATTTGACTGGAGGGCAAGTTATTTGGAGGAAGTAAAATAATTGAGATCAGACTAGAAAGGCAGTAAGGGAGCCATTGACTCTTCTTGAACAATGGGGTACAATAATAAAATGTACGTTTTGGATATTTAACCAGGCAGAAATGAAAAAATTGGAAAAATGAACAAAACTATAAGTCTAGGTGGTAATTATCTTCCGTGGTAAGTGTATTAAAAACTGAAAGGAGGAAATGCATTTGAGAACTATTGTGGAAATATATTTTCAGGACTTGGTGACTAAGAACAGTGCTTTGAGGGAGAGAGTGGTCAAGATGATTCCTCAGTTTCATACTGGAGCGCCTGGGAAAATGTCGGAAAAATACGGAGGCTTATTTGGTAGGAAGTTTTTGATTTTAGACATGCTGTGGTTGAAATCTCTACAGGACATCTAGGTGGAAGATGTGTAACTAGCAGGCAAATTGTAGATGGAAAAGGGAGCTTAGGAGTGAAGTCAGGGCTGGAGACCTAGGCAGAGAAATTATTTGTGTTGAGGGAATAATTGACGCCGTGTCATCATTCCTTAACAGCTACCTTCAGTGCTTTGTATGTGCATAGCCTCAATGTATTTGAGTAATGTGTGACAGCAGTGTATTCAGATAGCTGTTGTATGACTTAGAACTGTATAGCCTCAGTAAGAGCGGGCCCTTCAGGATTCAGAGGAGCCCAGCCTTAACATTTTCAACATGATTGGCAGGAAAACACTGGCTCTTTAGGAAGGCTATTTTAGTTGTAGGAGCAGAAAGTAAGTAAAGTTATATATCCTCTCTGTGCTAGGTGTTGGTAAGCCTTTTGTATATACTTTATTTCTCAACAACCCTGTGAAGTACGGAGTGTTGTTCTCATTTTACAAATGATGAAACAGAGGCTTAAGAGAGGGTAAGTTATTTTAGAGCAAGAATTTGAACCTGATTATTGTTCCTTCGATGTTATTGGTCTTTTTACTGTGCCACACACTTTGCTCTGTTTCCCAGTAAGACCTGTCAGATATTACTGTCAGGATTATGGTTAAATAGGTTTTTTATTTTGGGGCTATGGCCGCGTCTGGGACTGGCCAGACAACTGCTGCTGCTTCAGATTTAAAATGTAATTCATTGCATTCTGATTATGGGTGGCCATTTGTCTGTAATAAGAAAGCATGTGTATAAAATGAATTAAAAATGAAAGTTGGATCACACATTTTACTCAGTTGCCTACCTCTTGGAAAGCTTTCAAATGATAGCATTTGTTTATTGTCTTTTACTCTGCTGGATACTTTCAATTAATCCTTCTAAATACTAAAATTACACATTTTCATAGCACCCAACTCTGTTACCTGAAAATTGTCATCATTTATGACATTACTAGGAAAACCACAATATAATCCCAGTTTGCATTGTTTTAAATAGGCAGAAACAAGATTGTATATTCTAAGATACAAAGGCTTATTTGTACCATGAAACCTCCTGTAATATCCATGCCTGAGTAGAAGAAGGTACATTTACTTTTCTATCTTTTGTTTGTATTCTTGTATACTGCTCAGCAAATTAGAAGCAAGAAATGTATCTCAAAACTATAGGGTAGTGTCAAATATGGGAACAATGTAATTTCTCTGTGCTATTTCTGTAGTATTCAGAATGGGAAATACTTTACTTTTCTCTTGAAAAAGTGATTTTAAAGTTTCTTGGCCAATATTCAGTGAATCATGAGAGACAAAATTAATGGTGAATAGCCTTCTAGCTAGAACTTCTTGTGCAGCTGAATTATGATTGTCAGTTGCCATATGCCATACACTTAAAGGAGGTTAATATACTTCCTTTCTTTAATATTGCTCTTTGTTCTTTGGGAAAATGCCATGAGAAAATAGGAATTACCACTCTGGCAGTGTGTTTCAGTCTAACTCCTGACACCCTGTTCTGCTCCTGCCCCTTCTCCTTGCTAGCAGCCTGAATTCTGCTTATCTACTAAAAGGGGGATTCCAGACAGACGAGGAAACAGCTTTCAAATGAGGCACTGCAGGCATAGCAAGCCATTCCCACACTGTGCAATCTGGAAATCAGGGGGCACCTCTCTGACGATGAATTCCAATTAGTTGCTAAAGATTCCGGAGTGTGTGCACATACAGGCGTTTTCTTTCCCCTCCCCCTTTCTTCTTTTTCCCAAGCCCCCTCTTCTCCCTGTTTCCCCTCCTACTCCTTTATCCCCTCCCTTCGTGTCTCAGTTCTGCAGTACGCGAGTTGAAGCACATTCCTGCTTTGCAAGGCTTTCTGTTAAGGATGTATTGTGGCTTTTGTTTGGATTGCAGCATGCAGAATTACAGGTAACATTCTGAAATTGAACTAAACAGCAAATTCTGTTGAAATGTTTTCAAAGAGGCAAAATATTATATTGGAATCAATGAAGAAAGTAAATTATTTTGGCTATTTTTATTAGTGGTAATTGTAGTGAAAGGTTTTCATAAATATTATAAGCAAATTCCCTTTTTCCCCCAAGTCTCAAATGAAAGGAAATGGGGGTAAATTAATCTGACTGTGATTGGTTTTGTTTTATGCTGATCTTGAAAGCTTGATGTTGCTGCTGCTCCTCTATACAGTACAGATCAGTTATGTGGGGTGCTATTGAGGGTAGCCATGAATAGTGGTGCTAGTAGGGGTGGAGTGGGAGGGATGATGCCAGCCTGAGCTAGCCAGGTTCTTTGATTAGGGCATTGGATGTGAAATGTAAAATGCTCTCTCCTTTTCTTCTATCAGCTGTTCAGAGGAGACTCATTACAACTCCTGCTGAAGCTCCTAATCTTCTTCCCTTCTCTTCTACCCTTTCCCCCTACCCTCACTTGGCCTGAAGACGTTGTCCCCAGAGTTTACGTTGCTCCCCTGGTGCTATGTGTATGGTGAACCTGGCGCTATGGCCACGTCTGGGACTGGCCAGACAACTACTGCTGGCTCTCCTTATTCCAGGAAGGATTTAAAGGGGAATTGCACTGCAGGCAATGCACCAGAGCAGCAGCATCGGGAGCTTGGGGACTAAGGCTCCTCTGGCATTATTACACACATGCAAAGCTGACCGCAATGACAGCAGCTGCTTCTTTGAACTGTTGGCAGCAGCCAAGCGGCAGCATGAAGTGACAGATCACTCCTGAGCTCAAGATGAACTCCACCTTGGATGGTAATCAGAGCAGCCACCCTTTTTGCCTCTTGGCATTTGGCTATTTGGAAACTGTCAATTTTTGCCTTTTGGAAGTATTGATTATTGTCTTTCTAACTGTATTGATTATTTCTGGCAACATCATTGTGATTTTTGTATTTCACTGTGCACCTTTGTTGAACCATCACACTACAAGTTATTTTATCCAGACTATGGCATATGCTGACCTTTTTGTTGGGGTGAGCTGCCTGGTCCCTTCTTTATCACTCCTCCATCACCCCCTTCCAGTAGAGGAGTCCTTGACTTGCCAGATATTTGGTTTCGTAGTATCAGTTCTGAAGAGCGTCTCCATGGCTTCTCTGGCTTGTATCAGCATTGATAGATACATTGCCATTACTAAACCTTTAACCTATAATACTCTGGTTACACCCTGGAGACTACGCCTGTGTATTTTCCTGATTTGGCTATACTCGACCCTGGTCTTCCTGCCTTCCTTTTTCCACTGGGGCAAACCTGGATATCATGGAGATGTGTTTCAGTGGTGTGCGGAATCCTGGCACACTGACTCCTACTTCACCCTGTTCATCGTGATGATGTTATATGCCCCAGCAGCCCTTATTGTCTGCTTCACCTATTTCAACATCTTCCGCATCTGTCAACAGCACACAAAAGAAATCAGCGAAAGGCAAGCCCGCTTCAGCAGCCAGAGTGGGGAGACTGGGGAAGTGCAGGCCTGTCCTGATAAGCGCTATGCCATGGTCCTGTTTCGAATCACTAGTGTATTTTACATCCTCTGGTTGCCATATATCATCTACTTCTTGTTGGAAAGCTCCACTGGCCACAGCAACCGCTTCGCATCCTTCTTGACCACCTGGCTTGCTATTAGTAACAGTTTCTGCAACTGTGTCATTTATAGTCTCTCCAACAGTGTATTCCAAAGAGGACTAAAGCGCCTCTCAGGGGCTATGTGTACTTCTTGTGCAAGTCAGACTACAGCCAACGACCCTTACACAGTTAGAAGCAAAGGCCCTCTTAATGGATGTCGTATCTGAAGTGGCTCAGTTACGGGGTTCCCCTGTGTGTGTGTGTGTGTGTGTGTTTTATCTCTAAGTATTCCTCATTCACTAGGAAATCTGAGACAGAATACTTTGACTCTAAGCAATAGCATGCAAATTATTCGTACGGATACCTTCTAAGTTTGTAGAAATGGTTTTCAAAAGTGCTTTTGAATTAGAAGACTTAAGATCATGAAGACAAATTGCTGTTGCTTTCAATTTTTGAAATGTCTTGGAAATGACTACAGTTCTCAGATTTAGAATGAATAAAGCCATATCTAACACCTCTTTCCAGCTGGCATGACTGAACCTGAGTGTGAAAAGCGTCAGCATTTTAAAAAGTCATCATTTTGTTGTCACTTTGTGGGTTATTTCCAGCTATTTAGGCTTCATGTGCAATTGATTTCTTCTAACAGGGAATAGTAAAATATAAATTAAAAGGTTTTAGAAATTATTTTTTATGTATGCCAAAGCATAACTACACTGCAAGTTTCAACACTGTCATTTAGAAAGCCAAATGTTCTATGTTTTATTCTCTTGAGAGAATTCTCAGTAGGGTGAATAATGTGAGCACATAAACACTAATTTTAGAATTTTACAGTGAACCATGAAGCAAAAGTGCAATCAAATTATACAGTTTATGAAAAACTGTGCTACTTTTTGTGCCATACTTCACAGAGATCTAAAGATATGTGTGCATAGAAGTGATCATGTTGTAGTATTTTTGCCTGTGCCTTTGTGTTATGTCTATATTTAGAATATCTGAATTGTTAGATTTATCTTTTATGGCAAAATGTGTTTAAGCTAAAAAATAATTCAGTGATAGGCTGTTGGCTGTACATTTTATAACAGTGACTATGTACAAAAATGTGTCTTTAATATTGTCTGTTCTTTCTATTCAAAGACTTCCGAAATATTAGAACATCAGGGAGAAGGGTATCTGTCATAAGCAACTGAGTCAGAAAGTATCCCATAGTATACTGATTGTTTTTTAAAAATATAAGGGAGCTGAGACATTTTCTTTGTGGTTAAATGGAATCAACTAGTTATTTTTGAAAAGTATTCTTTCAGTTAGTGCTAAGGAATCCACATTTGAAGAGGGGAAGGGGAAACTCTTAAGTCTCTTATTGCTATTCTCTTTCTGGAAAAAAATCCTTTGGCATACAGTTCTTAATAGTCTTTTTTTCTTCCCTGCCAAAGTACTAGCAAACCTATAGGATTTTACTATTCTTCATAGAATTATTATTGAGTTATGTGTTTGTATATAGTAGTGATGTTTGTTCTTAAAAGTGATGATCTTCAGAGCAAGAGGTTTATTTTTCTAAAAGGAGAGAAGGAATTCCAGCAGCTCCAAGCACGAAAGTATTTCCTCTACTTTTCTGCAGGCTTTAATGTTTTGGAAATCTTCAGGGGACTTACTTGATCTCTGCCTTTGGCTAGAGGTTGTAATCTGAATGCGACAATGGTGTTCAGTGAGATGGAAGACGGAAGAAACCCGGGGAACATGGGTTAAAGTGGGTTTCTGAATCCAAGAAAGGACATGGATATTTATAAAGCAGGCAGATAAGCTTTGGTTTTCCATCATGATGCCAGTGTTCTTATGATTTTAGGCTTTAGACATCAACTTGATTTTAACCTCAGTTGTGTTCTATTTAAACTTTCTTATTTTAAGTGACTAAGCATTATATAAACATTCAAACTTCAGATTCTGGATTTTTCCCAAAAGCTTGCTTGCTCTTTATGTTTAGTGTTAGCAAATTTTATTCTAAGCTGTTTCAAAATTTAGAACTCATACTGAAATTCCAAGTTATGTTAGAAATGGCTTGCCATTTCAAATGGGAAACCTTTTCTTTTGGATTCTGAAAAATGGTTGTATTGTAAACATTTCCCCTTTAAGTGGTACAGATCTAAAAAAACAAAATTTACCTTTTTCATATATGTTAGAGAATGTAACCTGTTCACATTTGCAGTTTGCTTATGCATTTTTAGTTTAGAAAATATGGTGATTTTAAACACTTAATTTTTGTTGAAAAATTGATGTTAAATCAGTAGGTTTGATCTCATTTTGTTGTGTGTGTATGTGTTGGGAGAGAGGAGGTGCTCCTGGACACAGTAACGTCTTCTTCAGTGACTGGGGGTGTTTTCTGTGTGATGTGTTTGGAAAGTTAATATTTAACTGATCTTTTCATCCTGGCATATTTAATGCAACATTTCATGACATTTAGTTTAAATACCAGTCTGATTTCAAAAAAAGTGTATTTTTAGAATCAGTTACCATGGCGTTGACAGGATAACTCGTTTAACTTTATATGGCATGTGACTGGTATCAGAGGAAACATACTTTTGGTGATTATGTTGAAATTATTTCATAGTAAATTTTAAAGTAGGCTTATACTAATGTTATATTTGTAAACTAGTTGTATTTTTTAATGCAGTGATTTCAGTGAAAGTGTTTTTCCCCCCTTCTTAGAGTTGAAAAGCAATTACAGATGGACTACTGTGCTCTACTTTAGTGAGAGCATTATCTTAACACTAGATTGGATATTTGCATTTTTTATGGGCCTGTCGACTCTTACTCAGAATTCCATTTTGGAAAAGGTTTTCTTTAAGCTTTATTACTGGATAAATTCTTTTCAAACCTTTTATAATGGCTTTTCCTTTTTACTTGAATAATGGTCTCAGTATTTTAAGGATTGGGAAAACTTGAATTTTTATACCATAAATGCATTGCCCACCTCCTTGAACTTGAAAATGAAGCAACAGGGTTACAGACTCCCAGATGGCCCAGATGGTAGAGTGGTTTCTAGGAGGGTTTCCTCAGCTTTTCAGGTTTGTTTGAAAAATCTGCATGGTGGCTTGGTATAGGAATTGTCTTAATTTCACTGACTGTGTTTTTGTTTCATAAGTGGTTGGTGAAATTATCAGCAAGCCAGAATTTATTGTTATATGAGCAAATTTTGGGAAATTTAAGAATGGGAAAATGGTGGCATTGAGATTTTTTGAAGTCCTCATAAATCATTTTGTGTGTTGATTTTTGTATAATTTTTTTCATTTCAGGTTGAAGAAAAGCTAAATATAAGTATTTATATTAAAAGTATATATTACTAATATTATGTTGCAGACCTTGGAAATACTGTGGACATTTCTTATGGCTGTAAATGAGTCATTTGGCCTTTCTTCAAAATTTGCATGACAAAAGGGCATCATATAGTAAAAATGAAGTTGGAACTGAGAGTAAAAAAATGTAGGCTTGTGTTTCTAATTAAGTAGTTTTGTAAATGAGGGCAAGTCACTTCTCTAAATGCTTAATTTATCCTAAAAGGAGATACTGATCCCTTCATACCTCATAGGGTTAGTTTGAGGCTTGAGTTAGATAATAGATGTGAAAGTACTTTGTAAATTGTAAAGTGCTTTGCAAATAAAAATGATTACTGTTATTTGTATCTGCCATTCTTCTACATGTCTACACATCATACATCATGATGTGTTCCCCCACACTTAGATTTTAAATAACAGATAATATCTCTTTTTGGTATCAAGAGATTAATGTGGTAATTTGAGTCCTCTATATGGTTAGATAACTTTACTCCTGGAAACTCTGTAGCTTCAGCCCAGAGAGCTTCAGGCAGTGCTTTCAAGTTGCCAGTTTTTCACAGAATGGATTAGCAAGTATGGAGCTGGATCACACCTTCTTGGCTCTGGATCCAGATAAAGCTCTGTAAAATAGGTCACAAGGCCAAAGGAACTATAGAAATCCTTGGTGAAAGAAACTTTCTGTGTGATATTGCTTTGTCTCCCTTTCAGCCTTTCCCAGTTTTCTGGCTCTGTCTTTCCTTCTTCCTTCCTTTTCTTACCACACTATTGGTCATGTATCCAGAAAGAAGTATTTCCTTGATACTGCCATAGGGTATGGAAAATTGTATTATGTAAGAGCAGTGACTTTTAGGGAAAGTTTAAGAAGCAATCAAGAAGCACTTATCTAGCAAGTTCTGCTGTGTGCTAGGTAGTATAACTAGCCTCAGAGAGGGATCAAAGAAGGATCATTTCTTTCTTGTAGAACTATACAGTTTTTAGATGTTTCATGTGTAAAAATTCTGTGATTATCTGTCTTCCAGGAAGCCTCACTGTTCTCTACTTTATCTGGAAGAATGTACCAAGACTTCCTGGTGGGCCACCCCCACAGCATTGTTTTTTGTGGGGTGCAATCATTTGATGCTGGTGTATAAAATCATATCACTTTATTAGTTTAAGAAATAGATGCTGGTAATTCAGAGCAGTCTTCTCTATCAGCAGATGTTTATGGGAAGCCAAACCATATTCAGAAGGTTGTTTGGTGGGAATGGAATCTCAGAACATGGTTCTGTAATGTGAACGTTATTGGGATCATAGTAAAAGATGAAATCATCCCTGCTTCCATTATTGACTATCCTACCTTCTCATTGACATATTGCGGTATTTCCTTGGTTCAATTAACTTCTTCTGTTACTTGTCTTTTAGTCAAATTCCTTGCAAGTCTTTGTAGTGTGCAAGCCTGCAACTCATTCTTTCTCTTTAAGGTGATTTTATATCCCCAGCCTTATCTTTTATCATGAAACATACTAGTTTTATGATTTATTATTATTTGAAACACATCTTTATTCTTTACATTAGTTTGGGGGAGCAGCTCATCTTAGTTTTCATGTAGTTCCTAGTTAGAAAAGCAAAATACGTGACACTCACTATAAAAATTAATAATATCAGATAATTAGGGTTGTGATATTCATGTCAGATCATGTCTAGCAAAGGAGTCAGGGAGAGGCAGATGAGTTGGAAAGAACCTTAGAAATCATTTGGTCTGATTCTGTTATTTTGCAGATGAGAAACCAGCCCAGTGGCCCCTCCCAGACTTCATGCTTCCTAATCCATTGCCCTTTTCTAGTATATCCCATTGCTTTTGCAGAGGAGTTGGAATTTGACTTGACTCAGCCGTGCCATGGGATGGGCATGTATGTACATGTGTAATTCTAAGGATAAGAAGTATGAGCAGTAATATAAATGTAATTGAGACTCGTTTCAGGAGAATTTTATAAACTTTATGTTAATACCAGCACTGTAGGAGCTAGTGACTATTATTAACCCCATTATACAGATGAAACAGATTTTGAGTTGCCAGAGTCAGACAGCTTATAAGTGGAAGATCTGGGATTCCAACCCAGGACTTCCTGACTCCAAAACCTATATTCTTACATTAATTTTTTCTTACATTCTACATTTAATTTTCACAGCAACTTATCAGGTAGTTATTTTTAATTTTCCTATTTTATAGGTGAGAAAACATAGGCTTAGACAGGTTAAGAAGCTTCTAAGGTTACATATATAGTAAGTGTTATGAATCAAATCCAATTCTTTGACTCTAAAGCTTGTGTTCTGTACCATTATATAAGCCTAGGCTTTAGAAACATATGACAGACCTTCTGCTAAATATAGCAGATTGAATTGAATATGCATATTTCTGTTAACTCCGCTATAAAGAATAGCAAAGGTATACTATGGACAAAAAGAGGGAGAACAGAGATGATGGCAGACAGTGATGCCAGCAGAGTTTTGGAATATAGAAATCCAGTGGACAAGTAGTAACTGACTCAGCGGAATCAACAGAGCTGCTTCCTAAAGTCAAAGGAGGAAGAGGAGCAAAAAGAAACAGACTGATTTGTCTGTTGGCTACAGTAACTACTTGGGAATTGGATTCCTAAGATGTCCCTATAAGCATAGAGACTGAAAAACAAGAATTGTTAGAAGCCAAAAAACAGAATAATTGGTAGAAAGTTTATACAAGGAATATTTAGACATCGTCACCCCTTACTCCTCTTCCCCGTCCCACCTGAATCCCCATCCCAAGCAGGCAACTGGTTTTCACCATTGCAGCAGAAGATGGGAGATTTACTCTTTGGAAAAGCTGAACCACGCTAGATGCCAGGCATAGCTGAGAATGGGACTAAGGTGTGTTTTGTTGCAAACGTGACTGCTGTAAGAAAGTCTGTATGTTAAATAATCAGCACCCTTGCCACACTACACTCTCAGAATGTTCTAAGCAGGATATGAGAGGAGTGTATTCTGGGGATGGACATTTGAGGGCTCACAAACAAAATAGCCACATTCCCTGCCCAGTCACTTTAAGGCGATGCCCATCAATCAACACATCCCACCCATGCACACAGAGCTCACAGCTTTTTATTGCTTCCCTTTTAATATTAACAGCCAGAGATAATTGCGCTTTTGAGAAGAAGTTCTCACATAAAGTACAGAGCCCAAAACAGTCAAGCAAATGACAGAAATCAGAAGAAACAGAAAGAATGTAGGTTACTGAAGAAAACAACCAAAAAAAAAAAAACCCAACTATAAAATTCTCAGATACTATTTTGCATCCATTAAAGGAGGGGAGAACAAAGTGCAGTAAAAATGAATAGGAAGAGAACAAGAAAGAACTCTTGCAATTTAAAGTATAATAAGATTTTTTTTAATTTTTTATTAGTAAGCAGGCTAGAAAATGAACTAGGCCAGATACTGAAACAAAAAGAGAGCTAGAAAATAGGTGAAAAAGCAAAACAATTGGAGGCTTAATCAGGGAAACCCAATAGCTGACTAACAGATCTTCAGAAACAGAATAGAGGAAAAGAAAGGAAGAAATTATTAAATATCACAAGAAAATTTTCCAGTGCGGAAAGATACGTGTTTTCATAATGAAAAGGCCCATTTCAGTGTAATAAAAAGATTCGCATGATGGCAAATTGTTATAAAATTTCAGAACAATGGGGATAAAAATTCCTAAAAGCTTCTTGAATGGGGTGGGGTGTGGATGGTGGAGTCTAAATATACAAAGTATAGGGATTTGAGTAGCAGAGGACTTTTTGCCACAGTAAAGCTAGAAGATAAAGGGTAATAGCTTCAAAATTTTGAGAAGTGATTTCCAACCCACAATTTTATGTGCAAACTGTCATTCAAGTGTGAGGGTAAACTAAACTCATTTTGAGATCTGCAAAATCACAAAATGTTCACCTGCCTTACATACTTTCTTGGGAAGTTACTGAAGGACGTGCTTCTTCAGAATGAGGGAGGAAATCAAGAAAGAGATACAGAACCCAGGAAACAGGGTCTCTGACACGGGAGGATGGTGAAAAGAATTCCCACAGGAAGGAAAGCTCTAGGAAAGCAACTATGCAGGAGACCTAAAGAGCACCCAGTGTGAATAGGAGCAGGAAGAAAGAAGGCACTAGGTGGTATGTCTCTAGGAAAATATAGTTGGAGTTTTCACCCTGGTGAGAAGAATTTAGTTTTGTGAGATTTTTAGGGGAAGAATTGGTGATACATACATAGAAAACCAAGGAAAAGAAAAAGATAGGCAATTAATAACTTCTGAAAAAAATAGAAAATTGAAGAAAGGAAATAAGATCATGACATACTCTGGTTCAGTTATGTGTTGCTGTGTATAGTTTGGTGTTTAGCCAAAAATGATAGCAACACTATGTTGATAGGATGAGGGGAAGGAAAGTGTTTGGGGGGTGAGGGGAAGGAGGGTGGGTGTAACAGAACTACAGTAGCATCTTCCACACTGTAAACTCTGAAACTGATGTCTAAAGTGGAAAAACCCAGAAAATAGCAACTTAAGCATTTTATTCAGAAATAGGAATTAAAAACAAACAGCTTTAAAAAAAGGAGAGATGAAAATGGTTGCCTCTAAGGAATAGGGTATGAGGAGTGAAGGGAATTTCATTGTAAGCTTTGTACTGTTTGACCTTTTCACTTATGTAAGTGTATTGTTTTCTATGAAAAGCATAGACCACATTTAGGAAAAGAGAGATGTATTTTAACAGAAGTAAAGGGAAGTCGGAAAGGAGGCCCAGGTTTAGAACATTACTGAAATAGTAAATGGGGGCATAATAGCACTATTTTACTTACGGCTCTTTATAAAGCCATTTCCTATTAATTGTCTCATTTAATCCCCCTAGAGATACAGGCAAAGTTAATACTGTCCCTCTTTTCCAGTTGTGGGAATGGAGTTTTGGGGCTTTAAGACCTTTTTGGTTTCCAGTCTGCTGTATCACTACGCCTCCATAGGTGTCTGTTTGGAACTTTTTAGATTTTGTTATTTTGTTTTTTACCAAGAGAAGACAGAAGGTGCTGGAATGCATCCTTCTTTGACATCGTGGGAAGGAATATAGGAAAACACGTTTGTGTGTGTGTGTGTGTGTGTGTGCGCGCGTGTGTGTATGTATATAATGAGTATGTGTGCTGGTGCATGAGTATTTATAATACAAGACATGGTATAATGAAATGATGAGAGGAATGCAAAATGTCATATAGTGTTCAAAGGCAAGGAAGTGCATGTTAAATAGATTTCCTTAGAAGGCAACGTGAGAGATGGGCTAGTCTCAGGGTAGAGTAGAATTTCTGTAGTCTGATTCCTCTCCTCACACCAGACCCCCTCCTTGAATGAGATTTCATAAAGTATCTAGCTGGACAGAATTAAAGGAACCCAAAGGATCAATAGACTAAAGACCATAATGAAGTGATCTACAATTTAACAAACAATATATGACATGAGAAAGCCCTTTGCAAAGTCAAAAGCCTGTCTTTACAAGAAATTATTATGAGTGTAGTCATTTAATGAAAGATTTGTTGGCTTATTACAAAACGACTGAATTGGCTTTGAGCAAAATATAAAAGTAATCATATTTTCAAAGTAAAGTTTTAAATTCTGTGTCTATCAGCTTTCAGCAAATACTGAGTTGAATTGTTAAGGCAATATTTTGGGGAGAAACACAAAAGTTATAGCACTTAAATAGCATTATTAATTTCGGAAATTTCTTCCAGAAAAACGGAGAAAACCTCCACTGCCAAAGCCATTTATTTTTAGCTAGACCAAAAAATAAAGTTTAAGAAGGCCATTTGTGGGTCTCTGTCTTTAAAGCCCCTGGGGAACTGAATCAGAGTAAAGCCTTTTTTCATTTATAAAAGTTCCCCTTCTTCGTGATATGTATTTGTAGAAATCTAAATCATTCCTACTTAAGTTTTGTTAACATTATATATCATTAACATCATTTTACAATACTGAGGATGTGTATTGTAGCCTATAGAACACTGGAAATAAAGTTAAAACAAAATGTAGATTCTAGTTCTGGCAGTTAATTAGGTAATCTTAATCCGTCTGAATGTTAGAAGGATCTTCATCTTTGAATGAAGATGACACCAGTATTATAGCAGTTAGTTTAAGATCAGATGCATATTATGTTAGTAGTAAGGCTTTTAAAGTTGTTACTGTGATTACTTCATACCGTTGGATAATTTTTTTCCTCTGAGATAAAGAGGAAAGTAGTGGAAAAAGCATGGATTTTTGGAGTCTTTGGCCTTTGGTTTTCTACTCTGCAAAATGGGATAATACTACTTCATTAGAATTATTGTGAAAATAGGTACTATCACATCTAAAGTATGTAAAATTGTACTTAGGGGCATTGTAGAAACTCAGTAAAAGATTTCAGCTATTATTTCTTTGCCACACAGAGGTCAGAATCTCCCAGTGACTTCCAGGTGATGCAGATTGGCACATACCATCAGAGGAAAGGCCTCGGGTGAATATGGAGTGGCCTGGTGTGCTTCCTTCTCTCAGGGATGGTAAATCCCTTAAGTACTGCCTTCACAGTTAGCTTCAGTTCTTCAACTGATGTTTTATATATTTTGTCCTGCTTTTAATAATACGTTTTGCAGTAGGGTTAGTCCTATACAAATCTCGGACATTAAGATACACATACAATACTTGGATGTACTTAAAGGGAATAGTAAGTCATTGGGGTTTACAGTAAGAATTTTAAATACTTTAGGAGGTGGAAAGGAAATTTGAGGCTCAAGCGGTAAAGAGGGGTCGCTTTAACCAAACTTTAAAAATGAGTTGGTCTTAGGCAGAAAATACAATTTTGGCAGCTCCTATTTTAAGCTTAAAAGGCCTGCTGAAGGGGGGCCGTTTATATACTTAAGGAATAAGGAGACTGGACCTGGGGCAAAGTACATAATCGTTCTTAGTCTCAGTTGTCTTAACTACTAACACTGTCTCGTGTAAGTATTGTAAAGATTAAATGAGCTAATGCACGTGAACCTCTTAGCATAGTACTTGGCATGCAGTAAGCACTCAGTACATGTTAGCTGGTGCAGCTGTCTTGTGAATAGGGTAGTATGGATGAAGCAGAAGTTTTAAGTTGGGATATAAGGGAGAATAAATTCAGAAAGATAAACCGGTGATAGCTGGTCTGGAATACATGGCTAAGGGATTTAATTCTAATTAGGAATTGGAGGTAGACTTAAGACTTCTGAGAAAATGAATGACAAATGCAGAATCCTCGAGTGACAGAGCTTAGAAGATCCCTTAGCAGTCTTAATCTGGACTCCTGCTTTCACAGACAGGGAAAGAGAGACCCAGAATAGTGACAGAGTTAATTATTTGCAGAATTAGGGCTAGAATCCAGGTATTAAACCTCCTTTAGACTCAGTCATTCCACTAGAATAAGTCCAAAGGGTTATTCAACATTTGTCAAGTGCTTAGAAAATAGGAGTTTCCAGCAGGTTTGGAAAAAAAGGAAACTGTTCAGATTTTGGTTTGTGTTAAGTAAAACCAAAGCATTGTCTTTCCGTTGGTACTTTCATTCAAATGAATTAAGATTTTTTTTCAATACTAATCAAAATATTCTCTTAATTACTAGTAACAGCCTCAGAAATGTTTGTTCGAGGAGGTAAAAAATAAATGGGTATTTCAAGAATTCCTTCATTGATATTTATAATTGTACTGTTAGTAAGATTGAAGGGTAAAGTTTTTGCTTAAATAAAATGGAAGATCATACGTTATCTAGTAACTTTTAAAGTAGCTGTTTCTCAAGAATTTTAAATAGAAAAATATGAAGAGTTTAATTCTAGGAGAGTCCTTTAAGGCATTACTACGTACATACTAATATACTTTGCTTGGGATTATTTCCTATGTGCTGATAAGTTTTAAGTTTTTAAGTTCATAGGAAAAGATCTGGTTTACTTATAGCTTTATACTTTAATTCTAAAATAAGATAGCTTTTAAGTATTGTTTTTTGATTCTTATTAAGATTCTTCCATAGAAAAATTAAAATCTTCAATTTGATTTTTCTTATATGTTGAGTTCGAAAATATTTTTGCCTGAAAGCTATATAAAAATTCAAAATTAAAATAAAGGTTGGAACTCAGAGTGTATACCTATAACCTTTGAATATGTGTGTGAATGCAGACCTCTTAAGGAATTCTTAATGCAGTACAGCAGTTCACTGCTGCTGTTGCATGACCAGTACCATTCAGATTTTTCATTTAATATTTGTGAATTGTTATAAG